AGCCACACCAAACCTCTTAGAAGAGAAAGTGGGAGGTACCCTTGAACAAATTGGCACAGGAGACCACTTCCTGAACATAACACCAGTAGCACAAACACTGAGATCGACAATTAACAAATGGGACCTCCTGAAACTAAGAAGCTTCTGTAAGGCAAAGGACACAGTCAACAAGACAAAAAGGCAGCCCACAGAATGGGAAAAGTTATTCACTAACCCCACATCTGACAGAGGGCTGATCTCTAAAATTTACAAAGAACTCAAGAAGCAAGTCTCCAAAACACCAAAGGATCCAATTAAAAAGTGAGCTACAGAACTAAATAGAGAATTCTCAATAGAGGAGTCTAAAATGGCTGAGAGACACTTGAGAAAGTGCTCAACATCCTTAGCCATCAGGGAAATGCAAATCAAAACAACTCTGAGATACCATCTTACTTCTGTCAGAATGGCTAAAATGAAAAACACTGAAGACAATTTATGCTGGAGAGTATGTGGAGAGAGGGGAACACTACTCCACTGCTGGTGGGAGTGCCAACTCATACAGCCACTTATATATGGATTTTAGACATGGATCAGGATAGTGCCAGACTGCACTTCCACTGACAGTGTCTGGAAAACAGGAAAGAACCTAAGACAGATATGCATGGTAACCCAGAGAAGAGGAATGACTCAAGATCTTCTGAACAGATTGGCAACACTGCGAGGTGTGTGTGGGGGAGTGGGAGCTGGGAAGAAGAGATGGGGAGAAGAGGAAGAGAGTGGAGGTCATGGGGGAACATGAAGGTTGAGTCAGGTGTAGAATAAGGGGAGAACAGGATGACAAATACCATAATAGAGGGAGTCATAGGTTAGAAGACAAATCTGGCACCAGTGAGACCTCTAGTGATCTAAAGGGATGACACCAATTGGCAAGCTAAGCAATAGTGGAGAGACCACCTTAAATGTGCATTCCTGATAATGAACTTGACGTCTACCCTATATGCCATCCTAGACCCTTCATCCAGTGGCTGATGGAAGCAGAGGCAAACACCCACAGTTAAACACTGAACTGAACCCATGGAACCCAGTGACAGAAAGAGAGAGAGGAGTGGTGAGCAAATTGGCAAAGAACGGACTGGCAAAACCAGCAGAGACAGCTGATCTGAACAGCTGAGGATGTTCCTCTTCCTTGTAACTCTACTGCTTTCCAGTGACTGTAGGTGAGTGTGCAAAATGCCTTACACATAGGCCAAGTGGGCTGCAAGAAATGCTACACAATCTCCCTATTCCTGAAAATTGTAACAACCAAGTGTAACAGAGTAGGAATTAATAGTTCATTGGTTATACTTCTTGACTGAAATGTACCAAGTGTTGGATTCAATTGCCACAATGGAAAGATACAACATGCACTAAAAATTACTTATTATTGCCATCATGGTTTGAGTTCAAGTTCTTGCATCCAAGACCTCAATTCTGATATGAGTCTTGTTTGCTTCTTGTTAAAAATAAGGTCTCAGCATTTAAGCATCCTTTAAGTCCCATCATCCTTTAATGGTGTGCGGGTTCTAACTTTTGAGCTTTGTGCCAAGCAGGAAGTTCTTCCTCTGGGGCTTCTCCCTCCTGGGAAAGAAGAGTGCAGCATTGAATGTCTCTTAGATAGTCTTCTAACCTGTCCCGGTGTCTGTGGGCTGCCAGGCAGTGAGGCCTCCATATTCTCTTAGTGTTTCCCAGGTTGTAGGGCAAGCTCCAGACTGCCTTTCCTTGGTTTCTCTTTTTGTGGGCACTTGGGGATTTATTTCTCCACATCTTAAATTCCTGTTCTTCATTTATGGGTTACATCTCTCACTCTTTTTCATTGTTACTCTCTTTTTCACATATTTTTATTTAAATCAGAAGAGCTGGTGCCTCATGTCCAGTGTATTTGTTCAAACACAGCTTCCAAATACATTCTACAGATATGGTGCACTGTACATAGCTTTGACCTTTGAAGTTGGTTTCCATTGTAGGGGCACAGTCAAATATCTTACAGACCCACAGTCAACTTCCTAAAGTTCACAACACTCACCATGATTAATTCCTTCATTCTTGGAAACAAAATGAATAAATTATTAATTAGGAATCTATTGTACATTCTTTTCCATTATAACATAATAAAATTTTCTGAGATCTCTTAACAGCCTAAAAACATGGCAAAATGCATATTTTCTACAAAAGGAGAGTGAAATCTCTGCCACAAATTATGTGTCCTTCCTCTTCTTTTTTTCCTCTTCTTTTTTTAAGTAGCTTTCTCACTATATCATGAGACAAAAACTATAATTGAAATTTGTCACTTCCTCTAACTCCTTCACCAGCAGAAATAACTTTAGAGATCAGAGCCACCTCCGACCTTTGAAGTAGTCACACTGGATTATTGATAGTGGTTTGGCTCTGGACGCTGAGTCAATATTTGCCTATTTAATCCCCAAGAGAGTACAAGATCATAACTGTTCAAAGGTTTATAATGAATGATCGGTTTAGTGAATGGAATGCATGAAGCTGTACAGATAACAACTGTTTGTTCTATGCCCTAGGTGAAGAAGGGCACAGAGGAGACAGCTAATGACCTTTATCTGGTTTTTGTCATTTTGAGTTTCACAAATCCATCATAGTGAACATTATTAAAGAATCAAAATTAATCTGAAAATAGTGGCATTGTCCTTGATTTTGAATAGGCTGTTCAAGGAATGCTTTGGAGACACAACTGGCACTCTGTAAGGTCAATTAGAGCAGAACACGCATTTTTGGTAATAGAGTTGACAATAAATTTGACATTATGTCTGACTTGGTAGCTCTCTTCCTAAGCTGACCCTGGGGTGTGCTGTTGTGCGGTTCTGTGTTGTTGTGTGCAAGAATGTACACAGCTTCCTGAGCTGATGACATCTGAAGACAACACTCAGTTGGATATGTTTGTTGGGTCCATTTAATTTTTAAAGTCCCATTGCTTTCTAGTGACCTTTTATGCTCTAACATGGAAAAAAGTTGGGAGGGAGGAAGAAAAGACCATGTGTAAAAGATATTAGGAAAGTTGTTCACATATGCATTATTTATACTTATAATATTGATTTATAGGTTGTCTTAGGTTTTCAATTCCTGTGAAGAGACACCATGGCCATGGCAGCAATCACAATAGAAACACTTTTATTTGGGGTGGCTTGTATTTTCAGGGGTTCAGTCCATTATCATCATGGCAGGAGGTATGGTAGCATGCAGGCTGATATAGGGCTGACTACTTCTTGATATGCAGGCAACAAGAAGTAGACTGTCTCACTGGGAATAGCTTGAATATAGAAGACTTCAAATCCCACCCCCACAGTGACACACTTCCTCTAACAAAGTCAAACCTCCCTATAATGCCACACTTTCTGGGGACCATTTCCTTTCAAACCATTACCTGGATTCCCATCCAAAATGGAGATGATAGACACTACCTTGGATTCTTGACTGTTGTACGGGTCTTGAAAACTACCACAAAAACAAGGAGGCCTCAGCTCTGTTTTTTTTTGTTTGTTTGTTTTTTTGTTTTTTTTTCTTCGAGACAGGGTTTCTCTGTATTGTTTTGGAGGCTATTGGTCCAGCCCAGCCTCGAACTCACAGAGATCTGCCTGCCTCTGCCTCCGAGTGCTGGGATTAAAGGCGTGCGCCACCACCGCCCGGCCTGAGGCCTCAGCTCTGATAGGGAAGGCTGTCCCTTATCTCCTCACACTGGCCTGGGTAAGAAGCATGCTGATGGATTTCCTGAAGTTCTACCATTGAGAACACAATGAATCCAAGTTCATTATTACTTCTATCGCTGTATCAGGATGAAGCCCTTTCCCTGAGTACAAGATAACTATGCTGTCTCCCATAACTTTCGTGTGACTCTGCTTCACCCAGTTATGAAAATGACCAAAGAAGATCCCAACTTGGTCCATGGCTGTTTGGGATTTTTTTTTCACTGAATGAATATGTGACTGTTTTGTCTCACTTTTTTAATGCAACTGATTGTTTTAATAAAAAGCTGAATGCTCAATAGCTAGGCAGGAGAGAATAGGTGAGACTTCCAGGCAGAGAGAGGAACTCAGAGTTAGTATCTGGTGTGGCATGAGAAGCCATGAAGACACAGAGGAAGTTAGACATACAGAGGAGTTAAAGAGCCATGTGGCAGAAGGTAGACCAATAGCAACAGGTTAATTTAAGTTGCGAGATCTAATTGGTAATAAGCCTATGCCAAGGACCATGTAAGTCTGTGTCATTATTTGGTGCCTGCCTGGCCAAAGGAAGTCCACAAGAAAGACTTGATACACACAGCACTGGTTTGACATGTTACTCTGGTGTGGACCAGAAAGCAATGCAGGGTTTTAAAGTCTTTTTCTCATGTCAAGTGATGACCAGTATATTGATCTTCTATTTCCTCACTTATGCTAGGAAAGGAGTAAAATAAGTAACATAAAAGACCAACCAGGATTGCACAGTGAGACATTGTCTCTGAAGAAGAGCAGACCACTTGTTTGCAACAATACACAGTTTATAATACTATCAAGGGAGTCTAGAAAAGGAAAGGACTAAGCAAAGACATATGGCGATAATTACTAAGAGATTCATTTTGTGGGATGGTCTATGTAAGATAATTTTAAGTGAAAAATACAATTCAAAACAGTAAATGCATACAAAAAATTCAATTTTAAAAGACTGTTGATTTATAGTTGCACCTTATTTTAAGTAGTAAAGCACAACCACTTTATTTTTCTTTATATTGGTCGTAATCCAGATAAAATGAGGTCTCCGTTTTAAGGTTCTTGTGAGCCAAGTCCTTTAACAATCTCATTTCATCGTTCTCTACTGACCAGAACATCCTTATTGAAACACTGGGAGAAAATGATTTTAAAGTTTGTGGATCAATAAGAACTCTGTGCTTTGCACACAGTTCAAAGGGTCAATTCCTCACACCATTAAAGGATGACAGGAGTTAAAGGATGCTTAAATACCATAGCCTGGCTGCTCCAGGCAGCTGCTGAGCTGATTCCTGACAACATGAAGGCTCTCCTCACTCTGGGGTTACTCTTGCTGTCTGTGACTGTCCAGGCCATGGTCTATGAACGCTGTGAGTTTGCCAGAACTCTGAAAATTCATGGAATGGATGGCTACCTGGGAATCAGACTGGCAAACTGTAAGTCTCCTCTTGATCCCTCCAGATGAGTACTCCCTGCAGAGCAGGTACAAGGAGCAATGAGTGAGCACACAGGGAGCTAGAGTTAATAAGCATCTAAGTTTCCTGTGTGTTTGATTTGGTTTGATTAAAAACGTCAGTGTTTTGTCTTCTTCCTCAGAGATATTGGGGTGAGGGCATGGAAGGGGGCATCTGTGCCAGGCTAAGGCACAGATGTCCCCTCCAATGCCATGGGGTACTCTTGGAGTGTCAATGGGTTTTCCAGTTGCTACAGACTCAATAGTCTGCAGGGGTCTGAGAAAAGATGGGAGGACACACTCAGTAAGAACTTGAGTTCTGAGAGCCTGGAGTAACTGGTATCTGTCTTCATCTCTTGTACCATGGTATAGATAATACAGAGAAAAATTTTCAAATTTTTGTTCTTCATATATGGGGCAAAGGAGTTCTATTACCACTGCTTTCTTCTCAATTATGGTCTACTGAATCTGAATGTAAATGATTTTTGTGCATGGCTAGAGGGATGGATGGATGTATGTTCAAATTTATTGGTCCTAAAAGACATCCACTTTGGGGAACTTGAAAAATATCACTTGCTATATGCATACAGAAGTTCTACCTACTTGAAAGGTAGAGACACTAGGATTTCTTGAGACCAGGGACTACCTTGAGTAACAGAGCCAGACCTGACCTGAGCTAGTGGTAGCTTACTTTATAATTAAATCATATATTTGTATATGTAAAGTAAATCACTTATAAAATACAGCAAAATGAAAGAGTTAATTTTGATATTCAGTGTACATCATTTTCTCTTGTGGCTTATTGATGAAGATTTTTTTATTTTCAGGGGTATGTTTGGCTCAACATGAGAGTGGCTTTAACACACAAGCCACAAACTACAACCCTGGTTCGAGAAGCAACGACTATGGGATATTTCAGATCAACAGCAAATACTGGTGTAATGATGGCAAAACACCGAGAGCAGTGAATGCCTGTGGGATACCCTGCAGCGGTAAGACAAGGGAGGTTTGGAGGGACAGCAAACAACCCATCTACTCCTATGTGCAAAAGCAGAGATTCTGTGCAGGAGACAGAACACTGAAGGAAGCACCAGGAACCTGGGGAGACTGTCTTGATTGCTAGAAAGTCATCGCCATTTACATCAAAATTAGCCAAGGAGGGCATTAGGCTTAGGGTATAGTCTGGGGGAAGACCTGCCTGCCAATCAGAGGACTCTTTGTCTATCTCCAGAATTCACTCAATGAATAAACAGTATAAACAGAGCCTGGGAAGATAGCTCAGACAAAACATCCCCTAAAACCAAAGTTTGACCCTTAGTACCTACATAAAAGCTGAGTTTGGTGGCATGTATTTGTAAGACATGCACTGAGGAATCTGACACAGTTAGATCCACTGGGCTAACTGGTCAACCAGCATAGCCTAATCTGTAAGCCAGTTCCAATGGAAGACCCTGTAGCAGAATCAATGTGGACTTCTTCTAGGGAACAGCTCCTGGGGCTGTCTTCTGACTTCTACATACACAAAAACACATGTACAGGTTTACTGGTGCACAAACCATGACACACAGACGCAGACATGTTAAAACAATAGAAAATTAAAAATAGAGAGCTGTTATTACATTTTTCAAACCCACACTCATGATGCACTCACCCATATATGGATGCATAATTAAAATTAAGTATTTTAAAAAATATTATCTTTTTACAACACATAAAATTTCTGTGATGTGTACTAATTAATTGTTAAGTCACCTTCTTGGTGTTTGTCCTGAATTTTCCACTCTATTTCTTTACTTAGTGGTAGTTAGGGATATTTTTGCAACGTCATTTTTGACTGAATGAATTTTATTATAAAGATTTCTAACATACAAGTGAAGATATTGCTATAATACATGGTACCAGGACGTTCTGGCATTTTGTCCAAGTGGCTTCCATGTTCATATATTGATGCATTCTTTGTGTTGAGAGATTTAGAATGAATTATAATACCAAATTTTGAGTTTAAACTCTTTAGTTTTCATGTCCAAACAATCTCATTCATAAATATTATCTCATCTAACAAAATAATACACATTTATTTATTTAAGATGAGATTTATTTTTAACAAAAAAACAAACAACATTCCTATCATGATTGAGTCCTGAGACGGTAGAACTTAAACTCATACAAGGAAGGAAGTAATGTGTTCTAGTGTATGAATCAAATTGCCATATATTGCTCTATTTCTCCAGTGTGGCAATTGAACCCAATACTTGGTACATTTTAGTCAAGCAGTCTAAACAGTGGGCTATCAATTTCTATTCTGTTATACTTGGTTGTTACAATTTTCAGGAGAAAAGAGATTGTGGAACATTCTTTGTAGCCCACTTGGCCTGTGTGTAAGGCATTTTGCACACTCACTTACAGTCACTGGAAGGCAGTAGAACTACAGGGAAGAGGAACATCACTCCCTGTTGAGTGCTCAGAGAGTTGATGGAACTGGGAACCTTTGGACATTGCTCTTCTAGTCTGTAAATCTGTGCTGTATGTCCATGTAAAGTTACATCATGCACATGTGTACTCACATAAAAATGCACAGACTTTACATTTTTACACAAATTAAATTATGCTTACATAGCCTTATGATACGGTTATTACTAGAAACCACATTCATAGTAACAAGCACTGGCCTGAATTCTCACGTGAAAGAGTGAATAAAATTGCAGGACCAATGTTCTGTATGTTGAAAACACCACTATTAAGTCTTGAGTCATTTCTTTCTTTAAGGTTTATTTACTTATTATGTATACAGTATTCTTCCTTCATGCCAGATGAGGGCACCAGACTTTATTGTAGATGGTTTTGAACTACCATGTAGTTGCTGGGAATTGACCTCAGGATTCTGGATGAGCAGCCAGTGCTCTTAACCCTGAGCCATCTCTCCAGCCCCAACTCTTGAGGCTCAAAGACCTGGCTCCTTTTCTTTTCCTGGTTACAAATAGTCAGGAGAGCTCTAGTCACATGGGCTTCTACATTGCTCTCTTTCTTACAGTATCCATTTATCTTTGTGTGTGTGTGTGTGTGTGGTGTTTTGCCTGCATATTAGACTGTATACCACATGTGTGCGTGGGATCTGTGGAAGTCAAAAGAGGACTTCAAGTCCTAGAGCTGGAGTTACAGACAGTTGATAACTCTCACATGGGTGCTAGGAATCAGGTCCTCTGGAAGAGCATCCAGTGCTCTTAGCCACTGAGCCATCTGTCCAGTCCCTGTTTTTCTTTAGTATACATTTTCACTAATAGACCCAGGTGACAGTTCCAGTGTGTTCTGTTTCCAGTGTGAGAACAAAGAGGACCTACTGTTATGGTAGCTGAGGGTTCCACAGCCTCCAGTGGCTCTCATCACTTCGGTGAGTTTTTACTTGGTATCAGAACTGGAATCCTAAGAACACTCAATATATCCCAACCCCCAGGGACTCTACAAATGAGAAATAAAATGGCTTACATCATGTCAACTGGATAGAATCAAGACAGGCTGTCTCCAATAATCACAGAGGCCTGGGCACTTGGAAAATGATTTTTTGTGTTCACTGCTCAGTATCACAGAAGAAAGCTGGCTGGATTTGAAGCAAAAGTGGGTTTTATAACAGTCCTTGTCATTCCTCACCCCTGTCTTTCAGCTTTGCTCCAGGATGACATCACTCAAGCCATACAATGTGCAAAGAGGGTTGTGAGGGATCCACAAGGCATTAGAGCATGGTATGTTGGAGCTAGGGAAGGGGAAACTGCTGGTTGTGCTGATGTATTCCGTGAATGAGTCTTTCTAAGGCCCAAGGATCCTTCTGAGCTCTGCAGGTTCAGCTGGGCCTTTCACTGCGTCATTATTCTTAGGAATTTTTCCAGAGTGTGAGAATCCCCACTCATGACTCCTTCCTTGTCAGGCCACCAGACTATTTGTAGAATCAGTCAACTGTCGTGTGCATGTGATGTCACATTGACACTGACCATGCTGTACTCTGCTTGGTGTTTGGAGAGGATCACACAGTCAGTCATGTAGACAGAGTTCCACCTGTCAGTAGCAGTTTCTGGGTGATGCTATAGCCTGTGTTTCCCAGGAGATCTTGGCCCAGGAACCAATCTCCATTAGTATCACTGTTAAAGTGTTTCCCTACAAATGTTTGAGTATGTGTGTGACAGAGGAGACAATTTTAATAATTTCTATCCTGTCTCACTTTCCTCCTCAGGGTGGCATGGAGAGCCCACTGTCAAAACCAAGATCTCACCCAGTATGTTAAGAACTGCGGAGTCTAATGCTATGCATTTCCATTTCAGCTTGTTCTGTCTCTTTCTCCCTATAAAAGTAGAAATGGGAAAAGTCACACTTCCTTGGATTCCCCTTCATTCAAGCAGGATTTAAACAGAATCAGAGGCAAAATGTTTCCTAAGAGGCTTCATGCTGACTAATGGCTTCATTGTTCTAAACAAAGCCATCATTTTTTGGTTACCCAAGGCAGCAGATGCTGGTGACAGTGGTCCAGCACTTTGACCGTCACACACATCTCTATCCATCAGTTCTTCACCTATGATGTAATTCACATTCAGTTTCATCTGAATTAATCTCCATCTCTCCCTGGTTGGATAGGCATACAACAGATATTTACAGAAGGATGTAGATCATGGGTAAAATGGCAGCTGTGTGAGATCCCAGGCCTTGTGTGTGAGCTCAGCTCCCAGGCTGTTACAACAGCCACTGTGTAGGGTGATTTGTGTTTGTAAGGAAACAGAATTCTGAGTGGATAGAACTGAGACCCCTCAGCTCAGAAACTTGTCATGAATATGTGACCTTCATAAACTATGTTCTTAAGAGTTGTCCCAATTATACTGCTTAAAAGTAAATTTTCAGTTCATGTCAAAGTCTGCTTTAACCCTTGATAGAATGTTCCCATGCCTCTTTCAGACCATGAGATGGTCATGACAGATTAATGACTGTGTTAGCTCTTAACTTTCTTATAGTAGCTTCATGCATAGGAACCGACTCTGAGACAGAGAAGCTCGATTCAGCAACACTAAGTGCATTGTGGAAAACTACAAAAAGACATTAAATGATTTTCATTTCATTCTTTGTCTTTCTTTTCTCTCAATTGGTGTCTATGGGAGAAAACTGTTTCTATTTTGGAAGAAATCAACATCACACTCTTAATAGGCTCTACATTCTCACTTAACCAGCAACTGCACCCTCACCTACATATAGCCAGCACCTATATCCTCATTTACATATAACCTGTGCCTACATCCTCATAGACACTTAGCCTGTGCCGACATCCTCACCTCCACATAGCCTTTGTTTACATCCTCATCTACACACAACCTCTGTCTACATTCTCACCTACTCATCACTACTATGTACACACTTACATACCATTGCCTACATCATCACCTACACTTAGCCTGTGCCTATAACCTAATCTACATATAACCACCTGGATTTTTCTTGGGTAGCTGACCAACAGGCCCTTCTCAAAGTGAAACACTTCTGTCTTTAGAGTCTGTTCTAGCCCAACATCATCCTCCACACATTCCTACTTCTCAAGTCCTTTGCTGGGTCTAGGATTGTGATTTCCTTTTTCATTTTGGGGATGCTCCAGGCTGTGTTTTCCACCATCTCCCAATTTAACCATTAGACCAATACAAAGAGATCTCTGCATGTGGTTTGCTAACCTAGAATGCACTCAGCAATTCTGTCTCATTTTGACTCAGAGCACTTGCTAATGAACTCTGCTTTCCACTGACTGGTTAGGCAATGGCAGTCTTTTAAAATCACCAGCAGCTTCTGTTAGTATTCAGGCATCTGTACTGGCCTGCCCTTGGGGTTCTGACAGGAGAAGCCCTCAGCTGCAGTCACTAAGAATACCTTCTGTGCACATTCACTATGTTCCCTTTTCAAAGGGCCCTGCCCACCTTCTCTCTCTCTCTCTCTCTCTCTCTCTCTCTCTCTCTCTCTCTCTCTCTCTCTCTCTCTCTCTCTCTCTCTCTCTCTCTTCTTCTTCTTCTTCTTCTTCTTCTCTCTACTCTCCCCTTCTCTGCTTCTTGCTCCCTCCTTTCTTCCCCCTCTCTCTTTCTCTTCTACCACTCTTGTTTCTAGGGACCAGTCTCTGCGCCCCTCTGCCCCATTTTCTGCTCCTTTTCTCTCCTCTTCCAATAAGAATCCTGTTGTATAGCATGACTTCTCTGTGGCATTTAAAAAATTGCAACAGCTCCCCCATCTCAGAGCTTCCAAGGGTCTTAAAAACTCCACAGTCAGACAACAGGGAGGGGCAAGCAAGATGGCTCAGAGGGACAGCTGTCTCCTCCCAAACCTGGAGACCTGAGTTGAAACCTAGGATACACATGATGGAAGGGAGAGTGGACTCCTGCAAGTTGCTGTCTGAAGTTCACATGAGAACTGCTCCCCACATGTCTATGTGCAAATAAACACACACACACACACACACACACACACACACACACACACACAAGAAATTCTAAAATTTTACTATTTTAAAATTTTTGTGCAAGGGTGTTTTCTGTGAAGGTATGTCTGTTCACCATGTGTATGCATCATGCCTTGTACTGAACAGTTTTATGTCAATCAAGAAAATGCCTCCATATGAATGGGTTGTAAGCAGGCTTGTAAGGAATTTTCTTAATTATTTCTTTTAGTATTAAGGATTATTTTTGGCCATCCTTTTCTTTTTATGAAAGGCTAATTGCAGTCAAACTCCTATATCCTATTACCTGGCCCCCATAAGCTTGTAAGGATATCATAGTGCAAAATACATTTACTCCAACTTTGAAAGTTCCCATAATCTTTTACAGTCTCCACAATTGTTTTTTGGTTTTTCGAGACAGGGTTTCTCTGTACTGTTTTGGAGGCTGTCCTGGAACTTGCTCTGTAGACCAGACTGGCCTCGAACTCACAGAGATCCTCCTGCCTCTGCCTCCCGAGTGCTGTGATTAAAGGCATGCACCACCAACACCTGCCTTCAACAATGTTTTTTTTTCTTCAACAATGTTTTAAAGTACAAAGTTCAAAGCCTTTTCTGAGATTCATGCAATCTCTTAACTGTAATCACATATAAAAATCAAAATAAAAAACAGATCACATACTTCCAACATATATCATCACAGGATATACATTACTGTTCCCAAATGCAGGGAAGGGAGCATAGTGAGGAAAAACTGAACCGAAGGAAGAATGAAAACCAGCTGGGCAAACTCCTAACTCTACATCTCCATGTCTGATGCCAAAGCACTCTTCTGATTGCCAACTCCATTCAGCTCTGTTTACTTCAACACACTTCTTCCTCTTGGGCTGGTTCCACTCTCTGTTAGCTGATCTCATCAGCAGGTATCCCATGATTCTGGCATGTCTAATGTCTTGGGTTCTCCAGGGCCATCCAGGCTTCAACTTCACAGCACGATGTCCTCTGTACTAAACCTCCATTCAGGGATATCCCTGACACTTGCCTGGTTCTTCAGCTTTCTTTAGGCAAAGAGGCAAATTATATAACCTGTTTACTCTATTCTTAACTCTAGAGCCAGAACCACATGGCCGAAGCTGCCAACTTCTGCTGCTTGCTGGGACTAAAACCGCCCCTCCACACACAGACACACAGACACACAGACACACAGACACACAGACACACAGACACACACACACACACACACACACACACACACACACTCAGTTAGATCTTCACAAACTTTCTGTTCTTCACTTTGCAAGCTTGGCTGTCCTGAAACTGAATCTCTAGAGCAGGCTGGCCTCAAACTCACAGATTTGCCAGTCTCTGCCTTCCCAGTTCTGGGATTAATGGTATGACCACCACACCCAGTTTTAAACTTTTCTTTAGTTTCTTTCCATAAATTGGAAATTTAGCTTGGTGGAAACTTGCCCTGAAGTTACCACTCCCCTTTCCATTACCCTGCTCAGCTTGCTCCTTTTCAGTATAAATCTTCATTTAAGTTATCACTAATAATCACAGGACAGAGTCTATACTAAGCTGTTCTGAGATTTCTTCTGCCAATGGAATTAATACAAAACTCTTCCCTTACAACCCAGGAAGACTCTTCAAACAAGGGCAAAGAGCAGTCACTTTTTTCCTCAAAATATCATAAGACAGGTCTCTAGGCCACATACTAACATTGCTCTCCTCTGAAACCTCTTGACTCCATAGTTCATCAGATCACATCCGGCACCTCTGTCTTCCAAGTTTCTACTAATTTGACCCATTAAGAAGCCTTTAAAGCATTCCACTGCCTTTCAAACCCAAACTACCAAAAAGTCCATAATATCCCAAACAAAATCATGGTCAGGCCTGTCACAACAATACCCCACCAACTTCTGTCTTAATTAGGGTTTCTATTGCTGGGAAGAGATACCATGACTATTTTTTTCTTTTTAAATGACTTATTTATGTACATTGATATTTTATCTGCATTTATGTCTGTGCATGTGTCAGATCCCCTGTAATTACAGGTAGTTGTGAGCTGCTATGTGGGTGCTGGGAATTGAACCTGGGTCCTCTGGAAGAAGATCCAGTGCTCTTAAACCACTGAGCCATATCTCCAGTCCCCATGACAACTCTTATAAAGAAAATATTTAATTGAGTTGTCAACTTACAGCTTCAGAGGCTGAGTCCACTGTGATTATCTGGCTCATTAAGAATGGGAGGTAGTTCTGTTCCGGAAAGATAGTTTTCTTCCATTCTATTATGAAGTTAAACAACTAACAGAAAAGAAACCCAGCTAATATGTACAATTGAAACACCATGCTTTGCCTCTGCTCTCCATGTTAAAACATAAAGGGTCACTGTAAAGCAATAGGACTTAAAACTCAAACTGAACCAACACACAAATATAATGATTTGTACCCTCTTACACGAGTATCTTAAGAGGCTTGTAGGTATTTTCAAATAAAGGTTTCATATCCTGATACAGAGAAGACAATTTTTTATTTTTTAATAATTCTTTTATTTTAAGTGCATAGGCATTTTGGCTTTTGCATGTGTCTGGGTACCCCATGTGTACCTATGGAAGGCATAAAAGGGTGTCAGACACCTTTAATGGACTTGTAGACAATGGGCCACCACCATGTGGGTGTTGGGAACCTGGGTCCTCTGCAAGAGCCGCTAAGTGCTCTGAACTGCTTAGCCATCTCTCCAGCCCCTCTGTGGTGCTTTGCACCAGGATTCACCCTGATGCACAGGCTCTCCATTTTGTATTTCAGACTGTCCTTGAATTAATGATAATCATCCCCTCTCATCATCACACATGCTAGGACTACAGGTGTCAGTCAAGAAGGCTCTCACTGTCAACCAGCACTTCTTTCTCTTTGACACAATTTTCTCTCAGACAGGAGTGGGTAGGATTGGTCCCTGGGATAAACTACTGACACCATAGCAAATACCCAGTGATGTCAGTGTTTGAGTCCACAATACAATGGGTCAACCCTGTTTAGATTCATCTGGTGTCACTCGACAAGATCACAGATTTTCCAATCAGTTCCTTAGTGCTCAAGGTCTTAGTCAGTCAGCTGAAGATTACCAGATACTGGATGGAAACCACCGTCTGAAAGGGACCAAAGGAAACAGGACACTGTGAAGTGAAATAGAATTACAACGAATGCCCCAGGGAGATCAGAGATGCAAGGGGTCCATGATAAATGAGCAGAGAACTGAAAAGAAACCTTCGTGTTTGCATCCGTTACTTTTCTGTTGCTGTGATAGGCCATGGCCAAGAGAACTTACAGAGAAGAGATAAACTGGATTTCCTTGTCCAGAGGGTTAGAGTTCACAAGGACAGAGTTTCAGCATGGTGGCAGGAAGCTGGGGCAGGAGGTTGGAGCAGCAGCTGGGGGCTCAGTCTCAATCCACAAGTAGGTGACAGAGAGTGCTAACTTGAAGTGGTTTAAATCCAAACCCTACCTCAAGGCACATACTTCCTTCAGCAAGGCCACACCTCCCAGCCCTTTCCAAACGACCATCAGCTGGGGAACAAGTATTCAAATGCCAGAGACTAATACAGAGATTTTCATTCAAACCAGCACAGTGTTCATCAATGAGAACATGTTTCCTAAAAGGACCAAGATTAATTGTGTATCCCTCTCCTATTTGGGGCCCAGAGTGATGAGCAAAGGGACCTCCTGGACAGCATGTAGGATACTGGACAGGCACTGACTACCCTTGGAAGGAGATAGACTCCAGAAGAAGCCTCCTGCCTCTCTGATCAACAACTTCATTAGGGAAGTAATGGCCCTGTGAATGTCTCAGAAATCATGACAGAAGAGGTAAAACTCATCTGGAGTGTCTCTGGGTTGTTTTCTAATAACAGTGAAGGCTCTGGGAAGATGACATAGCAGCACTAAACACTGACAGCTCTTGCTGAGGACCCAGGTTCAATTCTCAGCACCTACATGCAGCTCATAACCATCTAGACTCCACTTCTAGCAGATCCATTACCTTCTCCTGAATCCTGGGGCCATGAGGCATGCAGGAGAAACAAAAACAAAAATAATTTACATTAATTTTTCTGTGTGTGAGCACATGTGAACTCCACACAACAACTTGCGGTCCGTTTTCCCTTCCACCATGTTCACCAGGCCTGGGAGGAGGCACCTGTCCCTCTGAGCCATCTTGCTTGCTCCTCTAAAGGCGTGGGTGTAATGATTTCATTAGACCCTGGATAAATGATAACTGGGTGTTTTATTGGGGAACAACTTACACAGAACAATAAAGAATCACTGCAGACTCTCTGTGCCCTTCAGATCTGACCCGGGACCCAAGGGAAAGAGACTGCCTGAGAGGCACCTGTCCTCAAGTGTCCCTCTTTCCACTCCAGCTGCACCTGAAGCCACGCCCAAAGGGGTGTGGCCACTGTTACAGATTCACAGGCAAGATGCTGCTCACTACAAGTCTCCTTTTAGTCTAAAGAAGAAGGTTTCCGGCCTTATGCAAAAGTTATAAACAATCCCAGGCATTAGCCTGGGAAGCCAGCATGGGACTGATCAAGACCCCCTGAATCTGGGTGTCAGTGAAGAGGCCTAGGGAATCTATTGAGCAGTACCCATCCCAAGTATACACACGGACTTTGGACTCCAATAGAACAATGTGAGGTGCACTCTCACCCTGAACTCTTGGGAAAGGGTCTACGCCCTGCCCTATATGAAATGACACACTATGGACACCCCCATGGAGGGCCTCACCCTCCCTGGAGAAATGAGGGGATAACGGTGGAGGGGCGGGAGAGGGCACGGGAGGAAGGGAGGGAATGGGAGAGGGACCTGGAACTGACTTGTGAAGCAACCTTGATTCTTATCTAAATTTAAACTGGAAAATAAAATTAAAAAAAATAAATAAAATTAAATTAAAAAAAGAAAAAAAAGTTATAAACAAATATAACAAATGCCAAGTATATTCCAGGAAAAGGAAAGGTAAACATCACAAATTAAAACCTACTACCAGCTAGAGCAATATTGACCAATAGACACATACTACACCCATCCCTGGTTTCTGACTGTGGATTTCTTAAGACCAGTAGGAGCTTTTTGATGGGGGATCTGTTGGTGGTTTTAAGAGACTGATATTGCCTCATCACTCAGAGGAAAGCAGAGCTAGCCAGCAAGTGCTCTGAGTCAGAGTAGAGCAGAAGAGTTGAATGCATTCTTGGTTAGCAAATCACATGCAAGACTCTTTGTATAGGTCTAGTGGTTACATTAGGGGGTGGAAAACCACCACCAGTACATCCAATCCCACGTGCATTAATTAGACTTTTCCCCATATATATTCCCCCAGAGAGTTTAATTCAGGAATCCAGCACAGTGAGAGATTGACAACTGATAAAAGACAGAATTGCTATTAAATTCTGAAAATGAAAAAAGAAATATGTCACAGGATCACTCAGACACCACCAAGGTGAGCAGATGCCTGACCTGACGCTAAGTCAAAAGGAAGCGTGTGATGCACACAGTGGATGCCCTGGAGAAGGTGAGGACTCATGCCCTGGGAAGAGCAGAGCAGAACAGTGGGGATACACGTGGGGCAGGACACGGAATCCTCAAGAACCAGTTATTTGATTGCAGCGTTTTTAATTTGATATTTTCAGATCATGACTAATGGTCAGTAAGTGCTTCAAGGGAGAGAGCATAGTCAGAGAATAAAGACATCAAAAGCAAATTTAAAATCAGTAGGGATACAGCCCAGAGCATTCCACAGAGACAGCAAAGGGTTTGAGAAGTAGCAGTGTGTGTAGGGTGAAGTTGGGTTAGAAGAGACTCTTAAGTGAGAAGTGTTTCACTTTATAAGAGCGTGTGAGGGACAAGGATCATTGGTCAGTTTGTTTCTTCATTTTATCCCAAAAATATCCAGGTAGTTATGTGTATATGAGGCTGTAGGTAATGGCTATTTGTAGGTGAGAATACATGTACTAGCTATATGTAGGTGAGGATTTAGGTTCTGGATTAGAATAGGTGAGGGCAAAGACACTATTAGTGTACCATGTTGATTTTTCCCAACATATGAAGAATTTCCCCCAAGGACACCATATGAGCATATACAAAGACAGAGTGCATTGAAATCATTTAATATCTTTTTGTAGTTTTTCACAATACAATTAGTTTTGCTGATCCAAGCTCATCTGTCTCAGAGTCAGTTCTTATGCATGAACTTTAAGAAAGTTAAGAGCCAGCACAGTCACTAATCTGTTCTGAATACCCCATGAACTGCAAGAGGCATGGGAACACTCTATCAAGGGTCAAAACAGACTTTGACATGAGTTGAAAATTTCCTTTTTAAGCAGTATAAATGAGACAACTCTAAGAACATACTTTTTTGAAAGGTCACACATTCATGACAAGTTTCTGAGTCCAGGAATCTCAGTTCTATCCACTCAGAGTTCTGTTCCCTGAAAAACCCATCTCATCCCACACAGCGGCTGTTCTAACTGTCTGGCTGCTGAGCCCACACACAAGTTCTGGGAGGTCACACAGCTACCAATTTACCTAAGATCTATTGTTGCCTGTGAATACTGTTGTATTCCTATCCAACAAAGGGAAGATGGAGATTAATCCTGGTGACATTGAATGTGTTTACATCATAGGTGAAACACTGGTGGATAGAGATGTGTGTGACGGTCAACGTGCTAGACCACTGTCACCAGCATCTGCTGCCTTGGGTAACCAAAAATGATGGCTTTGTTTAGAACAATGAAGACATTAGTCAGCATGAAGCCTCTTAGGAAACAGTCTCCATTTTTCTCCTGTTCCTGTTTAAAGCCTACTTGAGTAAAGGGAATTCCAAGGATGTGTGACCTCTCCCAAAACTAACCCTATAGCTAGAAAGAGACAGATTGAGCTGAAGTAGAAGCAAACAGCGTTAGACCCCGCAGTTCCGAATATACTGGCTGAGATCTCGGTTTTGACAACGGTTTTTCCATGCCACCCTGAAGAAGAAAGTGAGACACAAGAAAAATAGTTAAAATTGTCTCCTCTGTTTCACACATACTGAAACATTTGAAGGGAAATATTGTAACAGTGACACTAATGGATATTGGGTTCTGGGCCAAGATCTACTGTGAAACACAGGCTATAGCATCACCCAGAAACTGCTAATAACTGGTGGAGCTTTGTCTACATGGCTGTGTGATTCTCTCCAAACCCTGAGCAGACCATGGGATACTCAGTGTCAATGTGACATCACATGCATAGAACAGTTGACTGATTCTACAAATAGTCCAGAGGCCTGAAAAGGAAGGAGTCATGTGTGGGGATTCTCACACTCTGGAGAAATTCCCTAAGAGTAATGATGCAGTGAAAGGCCCAGCTGAACCTGCAGACCCCAGAAGGACCCTTGGGCCTTAGAAAGACTCACTGCATACATCAACACAACCAGCAGTTTCCCCTTCCCTAGCTCCAACATACCATGCTCTAATGCCTTGTGGATCCCTCACAACCCTCTTTGCACATTGTATGGCTTGAGTGATGTCATCCTGGAGCAAAGCTGAAAGACAGGGGTGAGGAATGACAAGGACTGTTATAAAACCCACTTTTGCTTCAAATCCAGCCAGCTTTCTTCTGTGATACTGAGCAGTGAACACAAGAAATTATTTTCCAAGTGTCCATGCATTGGTGCTTAGTGGAGACAGCCTGTCTTGAATATATATAGGAATCCACAAAAACGATCCCAGCTAAGACTCCTAGCAAGAGTGGAGAGACTGTCTGAACTGCTTTCCCCTGCAATCAGATTGTTGACTACCCTAACTGTCATCATAGAACCTTCATTCTGTAAAGGATGGAAGCACATGCAGAGTTCCACACCAAAGCACCAGGCTGAGCACTGGAAGTTCAGTCAAAGAGAGGAAGAAGGGAATACATGAGCAAAGGGTGGGGGTCAAGATCATAAGGAAACCTAGAGAGACAGCTGACCAGAGTTCACGGGTACTCATGGACTCTAGACCAACAGCTGTGATGCCTGCATGGGATTGAACTAGGCAGGCCTTCTGCATGTAGGTGGCAGTTGTATGACTTGGTCTGTGTGTGAGGTCCCTGGTATTGGGCCAGAGATCTATCCCTGGTGCATGATCTGACTTTTTGGAGCCTATTCCTATGTTGGGATGTCTTGTTCAGCCTTGATGCAGACGGGCTTCAATTTGATATGCCAGGCTCTGTTGACTCCCCATGGCAGGCTTAGACTTTCTGAGGAGTGGATGTGGGGGTGGGGTGAGGGAGAAGTGGGGGAGAAAGTGGGAGGAGGGGAACCCTGGTTGGTATTTAACATTAACAAATTTTTTTAAAAAGAGAAAACATTGTGCCGGGCAGTGGTGATGCACGCCTTTAATCCCAGCACTCAGGAGGCAGAGGCAGGCGGATCTCTGTGAGTTCGAGGCTAGGCGGGACCCACAGCCTCTAAAACAATTCAGAGAAACCCTGTCTCGTAAAAACAAAAAAAAGAGAGAGAGAGAGAAAAACATTGCAAAAATTCAAAAGCTTTATGTGAGTAAAACTCCTCCTAACAATTAATAATCAGTAAAATAAAAGGAGCCAGATGCTTTAAAAATCAGGACTTGAAGCTGGAGAGATGGCTCAGTGGTAAGAGCAATGGCTGCTCTCCAAAATCCTGAGGTCAATTCCCAGCAACTATATGGTGGCTCACAGTCAACTATAAGATCAGGTGACCTCTGCCAGCAGAACACTGAATACATAATAAGTAAATAACATTTAAGTGTGGTGTTTTCTTTTTTTGGTTTTTTCGAGACAGGGTTTCTCTGTGGCTTTGGAGGCTGTCCTGGAACTCGCTCTGTAGACCAGGCTGGCCTCGAACTCACAGAGATCCGCCTGCCTCTGCCTCCCGAGTGCTGGGATTAAAGGCGTGCACCACCAACGCCCGGCTTAAGTGTGGTATTTTCAACATATAAAATATTGCTACTGCAATTTTATTCAATGTTTAAAATGAGAATTCAGGTCAGTGTTTCTTATTATGGTTGTAGTATTCAGTAATAACCATTTTATGGAGATGTGAAAGCATAATTTAATTTGTGTAAAATGTAAAGTCTGTGTACGTTTTTATGTGAGTACACATGCCCATGATGTAACTTTACATGGACCTACAGCACAGATTTACAGACTAGAAAAGCAATGTCCAAAGGTTCCCAGTTGCATCAACTCTCTGAGCACTCAACAGGGAGTAATGTTCCTCTTCCCTGTAGCTCTACTGCTTTCCGATGACTGTAGGTGAGCATGCAAAATGCCTTATAAGTAGGCCAAGTGGGCTGCAAAAGTGTTCCACAAACTCATTTCTCCTGAAAATTGTAACAACCAAGTGTAACAGAGTAGGAATTAATAATAGTTCAATGTTTAGAGTGCTTCACTAAAGTATAGCAAGCTTCGGTTCCATTCCCACACTGGAAATGTAAAACAACTTTGACCAATTCAATGCATGTGCTAAACATTATACGTTACTTCCATCGTGGCATTTGAATTCATGTTCCACCATCCCAGGCCTCAATACAGACATGAACATTGTCTGATCTTTTCCTTGTTGAAAAGAAGCTTCTGCTTAAATATATAAACCATTGCTATTTTGTTTGAAGATACAATGTCCGTCTAATTCTTGGATGGTTTGGACTTGTAAACTAAACAGTTTTAAAACAAATTTGATATTAGTAATTAACTAATCTGTCAACAGGAAGAGTGCATCAATACATGCACATAGAAGCCAGTTGAACAAAATACCAGGACTTTGTGGTACCCTGTCATATGGTCTGTGTTATACTACTACCGTCATTTGTATATGTTTAAAAAAATATTTATAACAAAATTCATTCAGTCAAAAATGACCCTACAATAATATCCCTAACTACCACTAAGTAAACAGCAAGAATACAAATGTTCAGGACAAAACATCAATAAGGTCATTTACAATTAATTAGTACATATTCCAGAAACTCTCCTATGCTATAAAATGACAACCCTTAGAAACATTTTCTTCATTAATTTTAATTATGTGTCCATGTATGTGTGAGTGCATATGAGTATAGGTTAAGAAAACCACCAATTTTTAATATTGCCAGCTTTTTATTTTTAAATTTTCTACTAATTTAACATGTGTGTCTCTGTATATGGTGGTATGTGTACCAGTGAACCTGCGCATGTTTGTTTGTGTATGTAAAAATTAGAGGACAACCTCAGAAGCTGTTCCCTAGAAGTAGCCTACACTATTTCTGAGAGAGGGTCTGTCATTGAAACTGGCTTACAAATTGGGCTATGCTGGTTGACCAGTTAGCCCCATGGATCTACCTGTGTCAGACTCCCCAGTTCAGGTCCCACAAATGCGTGCAACCAAACTCAGCATTTATTTGGGTGCTGAGGGTCAAACCTTAAATTAGGCAATGTTCTGTCCAAGCTACCTTTCCAAGTTCAGTTTATATTGTTTATCCATTGAGTGAATTTTGGAGATAGAACAAAGGATCCTCTGATTGGCAGGCAGGGCTTCACTAGACTATACCCTAAGCCTAATGTCCTCCTTGGCTAATTTTGATGTGAATAACAATGACCTTCTGGCAGTCAAGACAGTCTCCCCAAGTTCCTGGTGCTCCCTTCAGTGTTCTGGCTCTTGCACATAAGAGAAGGTGGGTTATTGGCTGTCCCTCTAAACCTCCCTTGTCTTACCGCTGCAGGGTATCCCACAGGCATTCACTGATCTCGGGGTTTTGCCATCATTACACCAGTATTTGCTGTTGATCTGAAATATCCCATAGTCGGTGCTTCGGGGTCCAGGGTTGTAGTTTGTGGCTTTTGTGTTAAAGCCACTCTCATGTTGAGCCAAACACACCCCTAGAAAGAAAAGAAATATTCATAATAAACAGCAACAGCAAATTATGTGTATTGGATTCCATAATGAGGTATTTGAATTGTTTTTTGAGACAGTGTTTCTCTGTATTGTTTTGGAGGCTGTCCTGGAACTCACTCTGTAGACAAGGCTGGCCTTGAACTCACAGAGATCTACCTGCCTCTGCCTCCCAAATGCTGGGATTAAAGGCGTGTGCCACCACCGCACCGATAACTAGCTCTTTGATCTTGTGTATTTTACAAGTGATTTACTTTATCAAAACAACCATATGATTAAATTATAAAATATGGTACCACTAGCTCAGGCCAGGTCTGACTGTGTCTGACTCTGGGTAGTCTCTGGTCTCAATTAATCCTCCTGCATCTGCCTTTCAAGTAGGTGGAACTGCTGTACCTAGTCAGCATGTGACTTTACTGTGCCCGAAAGAGAATCTCTTGGAGGACAAATCTGTTTGCACTGAGAATAAACAGTATTAGGTCCTTTTAAAAAACTCAAATAGAAGAACTGGTCATAATCATGCTCATTTTAATCCCAGCAGCTGGGAGGCAGAGGCTGCTGAATCTGTGTGAGTTTGTAAACAACCAGGTCTACATATAAGCTCCAGGCCTGCGAGTGCTATACAGTGAAACCATGCCTTCTACTCCCAAATTGAAATAGCTTTTTTTCCCATTGTTTCTCTCTCTCCATGTATTCTTGAGATATCTCTGTCTAAAACAGAATCATAAATAGTGGTTAGGTGGATTTTATACATTAATATCAAATACACATGCCAATAAAGATGTCCCTATGAGAAAAATGATGATTTCCTCAGAGAGATGTTCTCAGAAGCAAGGAGAATTTGCATGTTAGAATTATTTGTTCTTGACTATGTCACTAAGTATTCTACCTCCTTGGCACAGAATATGTAATCTCCTGTCTCAGTGTCCCATTGCTGGGATTCCAGGGGTGTGCATTATCATAAATGGCTATTGAGAATATTGATATGGAAAAGATTAGAACAAGAAAGGTTCTTGGCATCCATCTATCCACCCACCCAACCTTCCACCCACCCATCCATCCATCCATCCATTATTCAACCCCCAATCCATCCATCCACCAATCCATCTATTCACCTGCCCATCAATTCACCTATCCAACTATCCACATATCCATCCATTGCCACACCCACCCATCTGTCCATCCATCCATCCATTCATCCATCTTCCATCCATCCATTCTTCCATCCATCCACACATACATCTGTCTGTTGCTCATTCATGGACAATGACTTATAGAACAGTAGGCATCTTAATCAAAACTGAAAAGCATACTAGCATACTAGTGTATAGGTGGAGTCAGCCATTAAAAACTTTTCCTCATCCTTGTCTTCCATTGTGTAGAACATAAAGCCATTCTAGAGTGAAGAAGCACACAAAATCATTTCATTCTCAGTCCAGAGGACCTCATTTAATCAGCAACTAGAGGGAAGTAGAATCCCTCTGCCCTATATAGGAAGTTCAATACATTTAAGAATATTCCCTCAAAAGATCCATGCCATGGGAAAAGAAATGAAGACAGATACCAGTCACTCCAGGCTCTCAGAACTCAAGTTCTAAATGAGTGAGGCCTCCTGTCTTTTCTCAGACCCCTGTAGGCTATTGAGTCTGAAGCAACTGGAAAATCCATTGACACTCCAAGAGCACCCCAGGTCCTATTGTCTTAGCCTGGCACAGATGCCCCCTCCCATGCCCTCACCCCAGTATCTATGAGGAAGAAGACAAATGCTGAGTTTTTTAATAAAACCAAGTCAAACACACAGGAATCCTAGACACTTATTGGCTCCAGCTCCCTCTCTGCTCACTCTTTCCTCCTCGTACCTGTTCTGCAGGGGGTGTTATCTGGAGGGATCAAGAAGAGGAGACTTACAGTTTGCCAGGCTGACTCCCCTGTAGCCATCCATTCCATGTCTTTTTAGAGTTCTCGCAAACTCACATCGGTCGAAGACTTTGGCCTGGACAGTGACAAACAGCAAGAGGAACCCCAGGGTGAGGAGAGCCTTCATGTTGCCAGGAATCAGCTCAGTATCTTCCCGGAGCAACCCAGCCACAGTATTTAAGCATCCTTTAACTCCCATCATCCTCTAGTGGTGTGGGGGCTCCACCCATTGAACTGTGTGCTAAACAGGGAGTTCTTATTGATCCGCAAACTTTAAAATCATTTTTGTTTTCCTCCAATGTTTGATTAGGGATGTTCTGATCTATAGAGAACAATGAAATGAGACTGTTTAGAGACTTGGCTCACAAAGAAGTAAGAGACCACACCTCTTTAAAAAAGAGAGCTCATTTTATTTCATCTAGAATAAGAGCAACATAAAGAATAACAAAGTGATTTTGTTTTCTGCTTAAAACAAGGTGTAACTGTAAATCAACAGTCTTTTAAAATTAAAATGTTTTGTGTGCATTTGCCACTTTTCCTTGTCTTTTTCACTTAAAATTATTTTTCACAGACCTTCCCACAAAATGAATTTCTTAGTATTTATTGTGATACAACATACTTAGTCAATTTCCTTTTCTGGACTTTCTTGATAATAGTATAAATTGTGTGTGTAGTGCTGCAGGCCAGTAGTTTAGATTTTTCTGGGACATGATTTCACTGTGCAACCCTGGCTGGTCTTGAAATTGCTATGTAGGCTTGTCCTTGAAATCTTCTGCCTTAATGTTAGGATTAAAAACATGTGCTATGATGCACAGCACCCAGGGCTTTTTTTTCTTTTTACTTTACTTGCTTAAGTCCTTTCCTAACATTAGGAAATGAATAGAAGATCAATTTTCTGGTTACCATTTGACATAAGAAACAGTATCTTTAAAACCTTGCATGCTTTCTGGTCCACACCCAGGGTAACATTTCAAACCAGTGCTGTGTGTGTCAGGTATTACTTGTTGGACTTTCTGTGGTCCACCAGTCCCTGAATGATGACACAGACTTATTATTAATTTTGAAAACGTTTCCATTACCATAGGCTTGTTCCCAGCTAGCTCTTTCAACCTAAATTAACCTGTTTCTATCAGTGTACTTTCTGCCATATGGCTCCTCACCTCTCCTCTGTATGTCCAACTCGCTCGCTCCATGGCTCAATGGTTTCTCCTCTCAGGCCAGATTCTGACCCTGAGTTCCCCCATCTGCCTGAAGTCCCACCTATTCTCTCTTGCCTAGCTATTACCCATTCATGTCTTTATTAAACCAATCAGGTGCCTTATGCAAGTGAGGCACAATATGGACAATCTTCATGCAGTGTGAATGAACATCCCCAAACAGCTGTGGGCCAAGCTGGCATCTTCTTTATTCATCTTCACAGCCAGGTGAAGCAGAGTACATGAAAGTTATGGAGACAGCATAGTTATCTCCTCCTCAGGAAAAAGGCTTGGTCCTGCTGCAGAGATGGAAGTAGAGATGAACTTGGATCCCTTGTGTTCTCAATGGTGAAACTACAGGAAAACTTTCAGCATGCTCACTACCCAGGCCAGTTTGATGAAATAAGAGAGGACATTTCCTATCTGAGCTGAGGCCTTCTTGTCTTTGGTGGTATTCAAGACCCACCCAACTGTCAAGAATACAAGCTACAATCACCACTACTTTGGACACAGACCCAGGTGGTAGTTTGAAATGAAATGGCCCCCAAAGGAGTGGTGGTACTATTGGGAAGTGTGGCTTTGTTGAAGGATATGTTTCACTGTGGAGGTGGGCTTTGAGGTCTCCTATGCTCTAGCTGCTCCTGGTGAGAGAGTCTATTTCTTGTTGCCTGAATTCAAGATACAACAGCACCATGTCTGCCTACATGCTACCATTTCCCTGCCATGATGATAATTGACTGAATCTCTGAAGAAGAAAACCACCAACTAAATGCTTTTTCTTTGTCAGAGTTGCTGTGGTCATGGTGTCTCTTCACAATTGGACCTCACTAACACAACCCATAAATCAATATTTCTAAGTATAAATAAAGCTCATGTGAACAACTTTCCTCATCTTGCTTTTCTCTCTCCCAACCCATTTCCATCTTAGACCATAAAAGGTAACTAGGAACCAATGGTACATTAAAATAAAATTGACCCAAATGATCATATCCAACTGAGTGTTGTCCTCATACATCATCAGTTCAGGGATTTGTGTACATTCTTGAACACAATACCACCTGAACCCCACAACAGCACACTCAGGATCAGTGTAGGAAGGAAGCTACAAAGTCATACAAAATGCCAACTTTACTGTCAACTCTATTTCCAACAGTTAAAGTTCTGCTGTGCTTGACATGAAAGAGTGCCAGTTATGCCTCCAAGATGTGTGTTGAACATACTGGTTATAATCAAGAACAATGCCACTTTTCTCAGATGAATTTTGATTCTTGAATGATGGACACTAAGATGGATATGGAGAACTCAAAATGCCCAAAACCAGATAAAGGTCACTAGCTGTCTCTTTTGTGTCCACCCTAACCCAGTGCTCAGAACTCACACTTGTCATCTGTACATCTTTGTGCATTCTGTTGACAAAACCAATTTTTCATTGTAAACATTAGAGCAGTTATGAACTTGTGCTCTCTTGAGGATTAAATATTGACTCAGCATCCAGAGCCAAACCACTATCAATGATCCAGTGTGACTACTTCAAAGGCCAGGGGTGGTTCTGATCTCTAAAGTTATTTCTCCAGGTACAGGAGATAGAGGAAGTGACAAATTTCAATTATAATTTTTATGTAATTTGCTACAGTTAGCAAGGAAATTAAAAATATAACAAGAAACACCAACAGTTTGTGGCAGAGATTTCACTCTCCTCTTATTAGTAATATTCATTTTGCCATTTTTTAGGTTGGTTAGAGATCTCAGGTAATTTTGTTGTATTACAGTGAAAGAGAATGCCCAATGTGTTCATAATTAATAATTTATTCATCTTTCTTCCAAGGATGAAGGAATTAATCATGATGAGATTTGTAGGCTTTAGGTCTATGGGATGGAAGTTGACTGTGGGTCTGTAAGATATTTGACTGTGCCTCCACAGTGGAAACAACCTTCAAAGATCAAACCTTTGTCACAGTGCACCATATCTGTAGAATATACTTGGAAAAGGCGTTTGAAGAAGTGCACCAGACACAGGACTCCAATTCTTCCAATTCACCTAAAATACATGGAAAAGGCAGTAACAATGAAAAAGCATGAGAGATGTAACCCATAAATAAAAAACAGGAATTTAAGATGTGGAGAAATAAAACCCTAAGTGTTCACAGAAAGAAACCAAAGAAAGGCAGTCTGGGTCTTGCCCTACAACCTAGGAAACACTAAGAGAATATGGAGGCCTCACTGCCTGGCAGCCCACAGACACCGGGACAAGTTAGAAGACTATCTAAGAGACATTCAATGCTGCACTCTTCTTTCCCAGGAAGGAGAAGCTCCAGAGGAAGAAAGGCACAGTGACTCCCTGGAGAGGGAGAACTGGACACTGCGGGTTTCACACTCAAGGCACAGCTGAAGGACTGGGAGGTAGCTCAGCGGTAGACTGCATTCTAGCACATGTGGATCCCAGTTATGTCTGTGGCTTTCTCTTCCAGGCAGGAAATGACCATGAACTTGGGGTAGAGAGTTCTCCTGGTCACCTTGGCAATGGATGGAGTAGACCAGTAAGAGATAGACAGGGAATGACAACAGGGTTGTCAGCACTACCAGGAGGAAGAGGAAGGGAGGATCCAGGGCCCTCATCATGGATTCCAGTCATTATTCCCTTCTGCCGTTTCCCAACTGCTACTGACCCTGGGGATTATTGAGTACACTGTAGATTGGAGAGGGGGAACTCCATGATGCAGCTTCCATCCATGATGTGGTCATTCCTGATGGTGGGATGCAGTGATGCGGGGGCTGTTTAATTAACCATGATTCTTTAGTAATATCTCTGTAGGTAAACCCCATACACTCCTTGGTTCACTGAGGTGGACTTTGGTGAATTGTTACATTGATCTATAGTTAGTGTCCTATAAGACTGAGTGGATCTTGGTCCACATCCTCCCATAAAAATTTAAAGAGACATTGAGTATAGAGAGACAGGGTGGTTAAATTCAGAGTCACAATGCCATAATGCAGAAGTATTCTGAGCCCTAAACCAGGACCCTTTTTAACCTGCCCTTTGGAGCATCTTGATTTCTGCCTAACATAACTTCCTGCAGGTGGGATTCAATATGACTTCTTTCTGTGAAAAACATCTCAAGAAGAAGAAACGACGTTTTGATGCTAATACTTAACACTAACAATTAAATGGCCAGTTGTACTCATTTGTCTCTGATGTCACCTACATAGGTCACAGATATTTTATTCATCCTCTTAGTGTTTCTGGTTGTATAAAATCAACCAAAATTCACCACATACTTTTTAAATGCCATTAATATGAAAGACAGGTCAAAGCAAATGTTTAGAAAGAACTCAGAATATAGGAGCTCAGCAAATATAATAATGTGTATAACCAGTAATGTGTTTCTCATAGACAAAAGAAAATATCACATGTATGGAACAAGTCTGATGCTACACTATAATGCTATAATAAATCATTGGAAAGAAATCTTCCTCTCAGATGTAATTGGTGATGCCAGGAACAGTTGTGTCTCAGTGTCATGAAAAACCCTAAACCATTTTAAATGCCATATTCTGTAGGTCTTTGAACAGTATGAAGAATATCTATCCAGATCAAATACATCTCTGTATATCTAGAAAATCTAACTATAAGTTTTGACTATTATAGGTAACTATCTATGATCTGTGCTTAACTATACATCACATTTTTAATGAACTATATAAACACAATAAACTAAACAAGAGGAGAAATAGACATACCACAAAACTGACCTTAAATTTGTACCAATAATTGAAAATCCATTCCAATACAAAGTATTCATTTCTATACCATATTCTCCTTTTATCTGTTAAAAAAACCATTTAAATGAACAACATTGGGGAATGTGGACATCATTCTTTCTAAACTGTTTCCTGCTGTTTGGGAACACTGAAATACCATGGGGATCCTAAGAAGACCCAGAAACCCTGGTTGTAGTGGTCTGCAAGGCTGCCTTGTCCCAGCTGTACTGGATGTTGGATCACCTGGGCCAC